GATAGATAGATAGATAGATAGATAGATAGATAGATAGATAGATAGATTATAACTCATCTGTATTATTTTTGGATCAAACTGGTTTAATCGTATCCTCGCCCTTGTTGTGTATACCAAATTTGGGATTTTATTTTTTCAAAGAATAAAAATTTACAGTAAATGTTAATTCTGAAAACCCTAGAATTGGTCACTCTTACCTCACTAAAACCATCAGAACTCTGGTAAGAGAAACCCTAAATGTGTCATCTCTGATACACATCTCTAGAGCCTTATTTTGGATCTCAGTGAAAGGTTTTAAAGCGATTTTTCTGTTTTCACCTGGCAGGAACCCCATTGAGAGGGAGACGCTCCACAAAGCCAGCAAGCACCCGGCGGCCGTGGCCCTCCCTGACAGCAGCGAGTAATGCAGGGGCCTCTTGATGGCCGCATAGCGGTCAAGCGAGATGAGGAACATGGACATGATCGACGCTATGCAGGGTGACATCACGAAGGCCATGCGCAGCAAACACTGGCTTCTCCCCTCAGTGACAGGACGCGTTGCGTTACTGACCGTTCCATCTGCGACGCGCCTGTTTTGGCTGTAGTTAAAGTCCTCCGTGGCCAGGCCGGTGATGGCCACACCCACCAGAATGTCAGCAAAAGCCAGGTTGAGGACGAAGCACCAGCTCTGGCTGCTCTTCTTAAGCAGGAGCTTCAATAAAGCGGCCGCCACCAGCAGGTTTGTGGAGACTATGAGGCAAGAAGCAACGCTCAGGATCACCCCCATCACAGACCTGAGGTCCCTCTGTGTGGGTGGCTGGTTTAAATCCATGCCATCAGACGCCATGCCAACAAAAGCCTCGGTGTTGACTTTTCCACTAAAGTATGTCCTCATTTTTTTATTTTAAAGTGAAAAAATATAAAGTCAGAGTACAGATGAGATGGGTCGATATTATTCTGACCATAATCCATGCTTTCCAATATGATCCTTGTCTATCATAACGCACAATGGAGTGCTTTTGAAAAACTACACCTGAAAACTACACAAATGTCAAAAGGAGCTTAAAAAACATCTGGGAATTTTCTCCAATAGCTCTACGTGGACAAACTTTGAAAGATCCCAACAGATCACTGTAAAACGCAGATTTTTTTTTCTTCCAGGTTGTTTGTGTGGTAATCCAGTTTTGCAGGCATGTTTCCATTGATCACACCCAAAATGTCTGAATCTGTTTTGCACAGAAATATCCTTTTAGCATCAGCATCATCACAACAACAGCAAAAGTCAAGATCCGTTAAATGAACGCCCGAAGAAAAGAAAGGCTCCCTTCAGTATCAGCAGGTCTCTCTCAGGCTGCCCGTTTCATCCACAGAAAACACACCCCTCTGCTGCTCATCTCTCATTCAGCCACCAGGCAAAGACTGGAAGTACTGTATTCTTTCTTTTTTCTTCTTCTTTGAGAGGGATTTTATTGTTAATATTTACATACTGTTTGTCTATGGAATTATTTATTGCATAAACAAGTACAAGTATGCTTAAAGTTGAGTTTAAGAGCTTTATTTTTCCCTGTTATTGAGATTTCTGTTATTCATAAGAACCATGTTTTTGGACAGTAAAGCAAAAATAATTATTTTTTTGGTAAATGAATATGTAGCTTAAGTGGATTTTTTAAAAATGAATACATTTCATTCCAATAAATACTTGTGACATATTATGTTTCTCAGACTCTGTTTTGAAGCAGAAATGAGCAAGTCGAATAGTTTTTACCCCAATATGCATTAAACCTTTTCTAATTACAGTTCATGGCAAACGGCAGCAGTTCTGCAACAGCTTTTCTTTTTTTCCTCTCGTTTAAAAAATAATGTATTTGTCTTGTCTGGTCCGGTTAATCCTTAGCATTCTAGAAAGCCCTAGCGGTCAGGATTTCATTATCTGTGTTTGGTGTGATGGTGTGTCTTTGTTCAGCTGTGTCGGACATGTAGGCAGATGCATTTGAAGCCACCCACCCAGTTCTCTGTCATAAGCTTACTACTGGAAACCTCAGTGGCCGGTCAGGTTTAATAATGACATGCCTATTCTTGATAGCTGAAACCCACATTTACAGCTTTCTGCAAAGCCATAATTAATATTTCCAACAACCATAACACAACTCATACACTCAAGCATCAGTGTCTGTTTCAATCAAAACAGACTAATCAAACAAGTCAGTAGAAGATTAGACAGATTTCATGTCAAATGACAATTTCTGAAATGATTTGATTTATTTTTCAGCATTTTATGTTTTGAAGGTATAGTTTTCTTCCAACATTTAGCTACCGTGAACAATTGTTAAGTTGTGTTGCATTCAGGAACATCATCAGGCACAAATGATCGAGGTGATCTGATCAAATTTAGAAATTCTAAATCTTACTGAATCATTTCTCGCCATTCATGTTTATATTTTTCTTTATGAAATTTTTCCACTCGTCATATTTTTTGTTTAATCTTGATGTTAATAAATGCAATTTAGAGAAAATAAAATCATAAAAAGACTAATCACATTTAATCTTTCTAAAATTCCATTGATTATATCAAACACACGTGTAAAGAATCCCACGCGTTGCTGAATGGGCTCAGCTAAATTCTAAACCTGCTAACTCTAATCCTGTTTTGGCTCCAGAGTCCAAAGAGGAGACATCTGGCATGATTGCACCATTTTCCGCTAGGGTTCACAAGCAAATAGATCTGGCTAATGACGCTTTCCTTCGGCACAGATTCATTACATTATCTGGCATCAGCCTGTCAAGAGAACATCAACTATGGTCCGTACAGAAAAACAAAATAAATGAAACAGAGAAGTTTTATCCAAACGCAAATCTGACTGAATCACTTCTTGCCACTCATGTTTAGATTTTTCTTCATTGAATTTTTCCAGTCTTCACATTTTTTGTTCAATCTTGATGTTAAATGCAATTTAGAGAAAATAAAATCATAAAAAGACTAATTACTTTCAAAGCTCAGAAATGTGTCAGACATGGATAACAAATTGTATGACGGGATGTGTGGTTTCAAAGAGAAGAAAAAATCAATTTAAAGAAAGTTATTATTACAAAGTGTCTGAATGTTTCTGTAAGATTATCATAGTCCATCCATTTTTTGTCTACACCACTTCTTCCTAGGAAGGTTATGAGGGAGGGGGGGGGGGCTTATGAGCATGCTCCAGCCTAACAATGGTCTTTCCCAGAAGGTTCCATTTTCGCTGGTGTTGTTAGTGAGTTCATTATCAAACTGAAAATAGTTGAATTGTTTTTTTTTTGTTTTTTTTAGTACAGGAATGTTCTCAGATGGGAGGCACATTACAAATTCCTCTCTGGTGGAAACACATGATTTTATTTTTTTTTATTAATTGACTGACATAGTTATCTTTACACCTTTTTGAACATCCATGTACCCCTGTGGGTTACATCTCAAATGAAAATTAACCCTACTCTCCCCACTGGAAACCACATTTAACGTTATTCAATCTAACTGGACACATTGGAGAGTTTTTCATTGAAGAAAATATTAAGTACATTAGTTTAACAAGTCACCTTTGAGCACCCTGAGAGAAAAAATAGTCCTTTTTTCACCCTAAAGTTCCCCATCACCCACCACCCAAACAGACCAACTAACACACAAGGTTGATCGAACGCACAATGTGAGAATGTCACTCACCCCTGCTAGACCTTTCAGGATCTATCATCACAAAGCGGTCAGTCAGCAGTAATTGTGGCCAGTGCCCGGCAGTGCCCGGGGAACCTCTCTGTTTACGACTCTGCTGGCAGCATCTTCCCAAACTGAGAGGAATTCTTGTGATTCAGCATAGGACTTCATCTGAAGGAGCTTTTGGGGTATTTTTTTTTAACCGAAGTGACGATTCTGATAGTCCTGGAATATTAGTCTGTCAAGAAACTTCTGGACAGTATTTCTAAGGTGATGATGAGGATGTTGTGTTACATTTATGATGTGTTAATGTGGCCACCGGCAGACTTTGAATTATTCTTTGAGTCTTGGTGATGTTCTATATTTCATGATGTTGATATCTCTGCATTCTTCGCTTTGTATGTATCTTTTTTGTCTAGAATATACAATCATATTCCAACTGATTAAGTGAGGGCAACTACCATCTAGTTTAAAACGCTAGGAAGAAGTTTAAGAGAGCTTATGTATCATCTACAAATTCAAATTAGGAGCTGTTAAATGTTTGTTCACAACTAAATGATCTGATCTGGTAATCTGATGTGGGGCAGAATGCACGGAAACTGACCCTGTTTGTGTTTCTGTCAGATTGAAGATGTCTTTGAAGCGGCGGCTGGTGTCCATGTTCTTGTGCTGTGTTTACTGTCTGGCCTCGCTCTTCTGCCTCCATCCAAACCGGAACAACTGGTTCTCTGCCGGGGCTCGGTGAGTTTGTAGAGCTACAAATGTCCTTAGATGTTCTCTCGCACACAGAGAATGAATCTGAACTTCTAGTTTAGAAGGTATTCAATATTTCATCGACACAATTATTCCGATATTCCGATAATGCAAAACTTGCACATGGAACTTATTGTCAAACATTTACACATCTGGAAAGTAAACATGTATTGGACATGAACGGAAAAAATGCAAAACATTAATCCCAGATATCATCTGAGGAAATAATGAATACTTTGATATTTTTACTTTGACATTTCAATCAAATTAGATCAATGGATGTTTAGGTTTTTGAATAATGGATGGATGGATGGATGGATGGATGGATGGATGGATGGATGGATG